TTGACATGAATGTGCATGTAGATATTTTACTCCTGCAGCACTGTTTTCCTCCGCATATTAGTCAGGGAAACATTTTAAAAATTATGAATGTGTAGGAAAGATTTTATTGCTTGCAAATTTTTCCTGCTTGACACTTCTATAACGCTTCGAGGACGTTGTGATGACAGACAGTTTTGTCAGCTATAGCTATGTAAGTCGTGTCCACCTATAAGAATATGTTTGCTCCAAGCCGAATACGTTATTAATCTGGCAAAACAAAAATTAAAGATATGCAGCCTGCTAAACAATGTCTGCAATTTAAAATGTCTATACAAGTATACCAACAGTAAAATTTCAGCATTACTGAATAGTAATAATGAGAGCCGTTAACGTCTATTGATTGGTTTTCAATAAAATTCAAAACATGCCTGTGACTGGTGGAAAGGCAGTAGACACAAATCTTATAAACAACTGCAAAGTCTCGAAAGCATACTATAGATATTAATAGATATTATTGAAAAGAGGAATGAATTACAGTGCCTCTTTACATATAATCATTGGTCCATTTGGTGGTGATGGGCCTCCATATTCCCCAAAATCTCAATCTGATTGAGCATGTGTGGGATGTGCTAGCTAAAACAACAAATATGATCCATGGAGGCCCCACTTCCCAACTTGCAGGATGTATGGATCTGCTGCTAATGTCTTGGTGCCAGATATCACAGGACACAGTAAGAGGTCTTGTGAAGACCATGCCTCAACACATCAGAGCTGTTTTGGCAGCACAAGAGGGACCTACATGATATTAGGCAGGTAGTTTTAATTGTCAGTATGTGTCTTTTAGAGAAAACCTGAACAATCCAGATAGTCTTTAAACTCCACCAAGGGGGGGCCATAGTTCACCAAGGTGGTCATTTGAAATATCGGACATGGACCAGGAAGAACCATAAAGTAAAACCCAAAATGTAACAAAAATAGACTATTAGTGGAGGAATAATCATGAAACCATACTGTGGTTTTCCAATAAAATCTGCCTAAACACCACCTGTATGTGCCAACTTTCTTCATCATTACTGGTATGTTAGGCACTCCCACCATGGTCTAGAGGCACTACAGATGTGTCTCTCCCCTCTCTGCTTACGACTACATGTCAGCATGCAGTGTGGGTTGGCTCTGCCCATCAGCATTTGCAGCTCAGTGTCCTCCCTAGTGAAGGGAGCATTCACAAAATGTCTAAGAAGACATCGTGGTTACCAAACAGGCTTCGTCGGCACTATTTGTTGTTGTTGAAGGTGGCTTCAGAATCAACCTTGCTGTCTGGCTTTCTAGGCATGTGCACGCTGAACTATGTGTCTCTTAAAGGTGAGATGCTAGGGGAGTCTCTGTGACCCAGCAATGATGTGTGTGGGGGCATATTCCCTCTCTCCTATATTCTTGTATCTGTACTTCGCTTTGGTTATATCACCCGCCTATTGCGCTTACTGAGCTCCTGCTATAGAAACCCTGACACAAGGCTAGCATAATTCAAGCTCAGCCCAGGGCAACAGGTCAGACCAATTATCATGGTTTTCTGAGATGAAGCAGTGGAGGTACTGCTCCGGATCTGGTTAGATCTTCTGGCTTCACCATTGGTTTGCAGATGGTAGTCAGAGAATAAAGAGAGCTGGATTTCCTCCAAAAATGTTAGATAATCAGGCTCCTGAGCCCCAAGTCTATTTTTGTTGATAATTCATTTAGCCTAATGACTTCATTTGCACACACTTTGGCTAATTCTGCAGAGGAAAGTAACTTAGAACATTTAATAAAATTAGCTGACAGTTTTACAAAAGAAGATAATAATAAAAGAGTTAGAAGCAGGCAAATCAACAAAGCCCAATGGAGAGGTTGGACCAGGGACGTTCAGGAACGGTGGAGGGTAAAAAATGCCACATGGAAGATTGTGAGGAACCTTCTACAGGGCAAATAATAAGCATTTTACTTGTGATTTTTTTTTTAAACCTGTGTAGTCAATAGAGGGACACAAACGCCCCTTCCCGAAAGCTGACAGGTGTTTATATATATATATATATATATATATATATGCCCTTTCAGTGGGGTGTGAGGATTGGACAGTAATAGGGCAGCTAGTGTCAGTTCTTATTCCATTTAATTGCACAGGAACTTTGAGCAAGGGTACAGGTCACCACCTTTCTACAATTATTTATAAGTCAACAACATTTCCTGCGGCTCTGTGCAATGAGTAAACAAGACAAACATTACATTTTAACAAAATAAGTATGACATTTGGGAACAGTAAGTCAAGAGGGCCCTGCCCAAATGAGCTTGTTCAACCACCTCACAAACATTATGGGTATATTCTTGGAAAACAGAGAATTAGTTCCTGGCGGTACACTTCACACCATTGTAGCAGCAACAGTTATGAAGCTGCAAGATCTACTCAATGCTCGCCTGAGCAAACAAATTGCCAATTGCCCCAAACTCATTCTAGCTTCCCTGTGTGACCCTGTGATCATGGGGTAAGTGGCACTTTGATCCAAACGCCTGACTTACTTGAGACAGTTTTATTAACATAGTCTGTGATTTGCATCAACAGAGAGGCGTGTTGGTTGAGGAAGATGTTCACATTGAACCTACCATGTTTTCATTGTCTACTGCCCCCAGCAGCAGTGCAGGCAGCATAACTACAAGACAGATGAGTGTAGCAAGTGTGGCTTAATGTTCTTGGCAGTTTGGTGGGAGCAAGTGAACACATTTTTCTAAGATTTTTTACAACACTGGGAGCAATGATATTGGGTGATAGTTAGAAACCAAAGTAGTGTCACCAATTTTATTCATGGGCACTACTCTTGCAGTCTTCCAATGTTTGGGTATATATCCAGACACTAAGGATTCGTTAATTAGGGTTGTGACAGGTTTAGCAATTGCCGGCGCACTGAGCTTCAACAGCATTGCTGGGATTTGATATTATTTTTAGGATTCAGCCAATCATTATTAAAATCTCCAAAGACCAACAGTTCACTTTTTGGGTTCTGAGCAATGGTTTCACTAAGGAGATGTGCTATGTCAGAAAGGGAAGGCACTAAGGAGCTAGGTGGGCAGTAGATTCCTGCAACAATGATTGATTTACTGCATGGGATCTCAATTGTCTCAGAAAGGAAATCAAAGGTGGCAAGAGCGCTAAAGTTTTGTAAGGGGGTGAACTTTATAGAATTGGCAAGGAATATTAACACGGTCAAATTTGGAGTCATGTGGAGGAGATGAAAACAATTTAAATAAGTTACAAATAATGCATATAGGGTGAGGAAGTAGTACTACACATATGGCTAGGTACAGGACACAAACATAAATGCAGCAAGCACAACAGATGGTAATGAGAATGTTGATTGAAGCATTGACTATAATAGCCTTAAATTAGAAATTAACTTTGAATTCCCAACAATTCTCACTTTAGTGAATAAATATGTTAGTGTCATTTAAGTAACACTGACATTTTCTGTATTCATAAATGCAGATTTGCATTACAGTGCATTTTATAAAGGGGCTATTTGAAATGACACTACTATGAGCTTAGGTTTAGGCTGACCTAGGTGTGTGAAGGTACTTATAGTACTAAGTAACTGCAATCATTTTTAGATTGTGACATAAAATGGCTCAGGCACATTTTTTGTTTTTCTTTCCACATTGCCCTTTCCCCATGACCAGAGGCGTAACTAGAAACCACCAAACCCTGGTGCAACAATTGTCCCGGACCCCTCACTCCCACACATGTGTTTCATTCCCTCCCCTATCTCCTCCATGTTTCTAATTTGCTTCCCCCACTCCACCATGTGTCTACTTCCTTCCCTCTCAACTACTCCATGGCTCATTTCCCCGCACTTCCCCTCCATTTGGCTAATTTCTCCACCTCTCCATTTGCCTCATTCCCTCTCACCCCCCATCGATCCTTCATTAACCCCCTTCACCCCCCACCCAGCCCTCATTAACCCCCCTTACTTCCCATCCAGCCGTCATTATCCCCCCTCACCCCACATCCAACATTCACTCCATCTCTCACCCCCATCCAGCCCTCATTAACTCCTCACCCCCATCCAGTCCTCAGTAACCCCCTCACCCCACATCCAGCCCTCATTAACCCCCCTCATCCTCCTTCCAGTCCTCATTAACCCACTCAACATCTTTCCAGTCCTTATTAAACCCCTCACCCTCCATCCAGACTTTATTAACCCCCATTCCCCCAGTCTAACCCTCATTAGCCCATTTCACTGCCCATCCAGCCCTCTCTCTCACCCCCATTCAGCCCTTAATCCCTCTCTCAGCCCCAAATTCAGTCCTCACTCTCTCACCACCCCTTCCAGCCCTCATTAAGCCCAGGGCCGGACTGGGGATACAAAGCAGCCCTGGAAAAAAATCTATGCCAGCCCCGCAGCATTGCATGGGAAAAAAAAGGTGAGTAAAAACACTATTTTTAAACAAACACAGACACACACATACCATGACAGACACACACATACCATGACAGACACACACACACCTTGACAGACACACATGTCTTGACAGACACACACGTCTTGACAGACACACACGTCTTGACAGACACACACACACACCATGACAGACACACACACCATGACAGACACACACGTCTTGACAGATAGACACACACCTTGACAGACACACACACCTTGACAGACACACACACCTTGACAGACACAGAAACACCTTGACAGACACACACACCATGACAGACACACACACACACCTTGACACACACACACACACACACCTTGACAGACACACACATACCATGACAGAAACACACACATACCATGAAACACACACACACCTTGACAGGCACACACATACCATGATAGGCACACACACACCTTGACAGACACACACCACGATACAGACACATACACCATGACACACACACACACCATGACACAGACAGACCATGACACAGACACATACACCTTGACACAGACACACACACACACACACCATGACACAGACAGACAGACACACACACACACAAACATCATGACACAGACACACACCATGACAGACAGACACAGACCATGACACACACACACACACCATGACACAGACACACACACACACTGACAGAATGAGACATAATATAGCTACCTGTGGGCGACCGGACAGGAGTCTTGCATGGCAGACAGCTGGGTCAGGTGTGCTGGTGGCCGCAGGGGGAGCTGGCTGTTCCGGCGGCCGCAGGGGGGAGCTGGCTGTGCTGGCTCTGCTCCCCAGCGCGCAGCTTAATGAAACCGGATAATCCGGCCTCGGTCTCATTAAGTAGCGCACGCGGGTGGGGGAGCAGAGCCAGTACAGCCAGCTCCCCCCTGTGGCCACCAGAACAGCTAGGAGCCAGCTCCCCCCTGCGGCCACCAGAACAGCCAGGAGCCAGCACTTAATTACTCTGTCCCCACTCTTTCCCTGTATCTTATGTCTGTGTGTAGCGCGGCCTAGAGGTACCCAGTCTGACAGGAAGTGCCCTCTCATTGAGCACTTCCTGCACACAGAGAGACCAGCAGGAGGGGAGCAGCATAGCACAGTGCTCCCCTCCTGCCGGTCACCCAGCAACTGTGGGGCCCGGGCCGGTGCGGCAGTGCACCGGCCCTGAAATTGTGGTGGCCCACGGTCACAGGGGTAGGTATGGACCTTGGGCAAGCATTTGCTTGGGGCCCATGGACCCTGCACCCCCTACTCCCTGGCATGCAAGGACACCCTTCACGCCAACCTAGTGGCAGAGCGGGCTTGTTAGTTTGGAGAAGGTGATTTGCACTCACTTCCTCCCAGCAAACATCGGGGGAACAAACAAAAGGACAGAAGCTCAGTACGGAGCCTTGTTAAAGGGCCATGGGCCCCTTATTACAGCACAATAATATGAGCATTGTGGCTCCAGGTGCCGCAGCCCACCTATCTCGGTGGGCCAGTCCACTTGCAAGTTGTGGGCAGTTGGCCCATGGGGCAGCTGCCTTGGGCTCCCCAGGAGTAACTGGGCCCGAGGCAGCTGTTCTGTTTGCCCCAGTGTTAAAAAAGACCCTGCTCTCAGTATACTTTGACTGTAATGGATGGTCCCAGAATCACCAACTTGTTGTTCAGCAGCATCTGGCGAGCTGGAGTTTGAGATACCTGGGCTATAGCATTTCTAGTATTAAGGGGCATACTATCCCTACAATCTACGAATGCATGATTAAAGGTTGTAGTACAGTGCTGTGCACTCAACCTCTAATCACGTGGGCTTTCAATGCAGTATAGCCCCAGTTATTCTGCACCACAGTTATTCAGTAAAATATACATTGTCAGGCAATCCAAATGAATTTTAAGTGGATTCCATTTTTGGGGCAAAATAACAGATTTTTTTTTTTTTTTTAATTCCGCTATTTTGATCTAAAGATTTGATTCACTTTGAATTCCTAACAGTTCACACTTTAGTGATTCAATTTACTTCCATTTTACCATTAAAAATGTACATCAGTTTCATTACCAGTTGCTGTCTTTAGTTAATTTCCTAAAAAGGGTCTCAGCAGCAGTTGGGTTAAGTCAAATATCTGTTGTGTTAGCTTTCCCCTTCAAAAAGAAATTTCCTTTTATGTGAAATATATGATAACAAAACAATGTTGTTCTTTTTTTCCAGCCTGCCTTTGATAATCTGTAGCAGGTGCTGATACTCTCGATGGCGAATCTACCAAGGGACACGATTTCATCAGGACTGTTCTTCCCATTAGAGCTTTGTTTCACTTCCTGAGGGCCTTGCAATTAATTTGTGGCATGTTTTGGAGCACCAGCTAAACTGAGCAGGGGCATTATTCACTAAACAGTGAGCTGGGCAGAATTGAATCATGGGACTTGCAGTTCAACAATGAAGGGACACTATCAGATCATGGCATTAAAAAAATAAAAGGAATACAATGATACATTGCTCTAAAAAAAGTGAATCCATTATTTAAAACATTTGTTATTGCAAACAAGATATAAGCTAGTTGCGAATGCATGTTTTCACATGACCCTATTATGTTACAATGAAATACCAGCCAGCCACTTTGTGTATATGTGTTCTGTAAAAAATAAATGTAATACCACAGTCATTTAAATTGATTATTTAAACTGGGAATTATGGAGCACTGAAAAGGAAATAATGCATTTTAGACAAACATTCCCAACTCATATATTGTTTTCCACCTCTGTTATTTTGGCCTGAAACTTGCAATTTCCTTGTTAGTACTTTAGAATCCCCTGTTTAGTGAATAATCATAATTGTATATATTTTTTTCTTTTCTTGACAAAGACCCTGTGTGGGTCGAAACGTTGCTGTAACTTTGTTACAATACATTTGTCTTGCTGAGTTCAGAGTGCATGGACCTTTCTTCATTCTTTGAATTTATTTTTCTTTATTGTGATTTATAAAAGCGATTACCCAGTTGTAAAACACTTAACGTTCCGGGTTGTAGAAAAATCATTTATGTATTTAACACAAGCAGATCTGAAAAAAACAGCACCTCATGCAACAGTTTCATCACAATATTTAATTTTGACCTATGCGTCTCTTTCATCATCCGCAAGCAGGTCGATTCACAAGTTCAGTCTGTGGGATGTTCCCTCCAAATTACAGCTACTTGTTTTTGTTTTTTTATACTTTCCAGTCAAAACCATGAATCTTTGCAACTGAAGTCAAAACAGTATATTATCATCCTCTGCTATGAATCCCACCCAGAAGTCTGCCTCCAATATCTGCACTTTGAATCTTGCAGTGGCAGCCAGGGGAAGACAACAGGATGCTATCAAATGCAATGTTGATGCAAGCTTGTGTAAATATGGCATCACTTGGATTTAACGGTTGATATGTGAATTCTTTATTTACTTTGTCTCCATCTATGCCAAGTTGGACCTGAGGTTCTCGGACTGTCTATGTTTTCTCTGTCATGTTTGTATTTTATCATTGTGTGACACGTGTATATTTGGGATGGCAGTAATGTGACTGGTGCCTACAACTAGACTTGCTGTGAATTGCTTAGACACATCTTTAGGGTGGAACGAGGCAAGACCGAGTTCTCTGAGGCAAACAAGGCTTTCTCTATCTTATATATTGATCTTTGTTCTTTGTTTTTTGTTTCTTAAAACAGTGATGGCCAGTCCTGCATTTCACCTGTAGTGAACTGGAGGCTGTCTGAGCAATGAGCATCATGGGAAATGTCCACTACAACATCTCCACTGCTACAGCTACCAGTCATTACCTTATAGTGATGCATATTTTATTAACGAAATAGTGAAACGTGTGTTTCCTATTTAAAGTTAATTCTCTTGTAGAATATTATAAACAATTTTTCTCATTTAAATGTTTTGTTTAAGCTGAAAGCAGCCAAAATTATTTTGTGTACGACTCACCTAAGAGGTTTGGCATGGTGTTGGCAAATACTTTTCCACATGATGGCTATTAAAGGGGTTGTAAAAACATCTGTTATTTAAAAGTGTTTGGAATTTTTGAATAATGCACACGGGACAGTTTTGGTTTCCTTTATTTATAGGACCGAATACTATTGCCAGCTTGGATTAATGGGAGTTTGAATGCATGAAAAGAATGTTTTTTTCTAAATTTTTGCATTCCGGTTTTCAATTCACAGCAATTCACTGCTTGGTATAAAGCATTGTTTCTGTCTTCTATAGTGATACTCTGTCTGAATTTTAGAACACTGCTCAGGGTCTGTCTCTCACTGTGCCTGTCTCTTATAGTGATATTGTGTTGGTCTTTTAGAGTCATACTCAGTGTCTTTCTCTAAAAGTGATTGTCTAGTGTCTCACTCTCATATAATAGTAAACTGTCCCTGTCTCTCTGGGTATTGCTCTGTGTATGCACTCAGATTTGTTAGTTTAAGGGAAACTTTAAACATTGCAGTTCGCTGGCTTTTGAGGCATTGAATGAACAGCTGGATAGAAATAATTAAATAAATAAGCCCTTGTACTGCATAAGTTGCCAGCACAGCTGGTCCAGCTGTTGTTAACCCCTTAATGGTCACAACCATCACAGGAACGCTTCTTAAATGTTCAACTGAGCACCACAGCACTGGTGATACTTATTAATATGGGGCACTTACTGTACCATGCCTTGCATTTCAAGGCTTATATATTCGTTCTTCATTCAATTTAATGTATAACCAAAGACGTTAGCCACTACCATGGTGATATTAAAATATTAAAACCCTACCCTCACAAAGCTATGTATACAAGGCAGAACTTTCAATTTATATTGCAAAGCGATGCAAAACCAATATTAGCCTTTTAAACCCAATTTACCCAACATATGCTCCAGCACTGGTCTTCTGACTGAGAAGTAACACATTTCTCTAAATGGACTCTCACAGGGATTTTAAGTGTTTTCCCTCTCCCTTCTCCCAAAATGTACAGGAACATTTGGAGCACAAAATGCTGGATTACATTATAGCAGCTAAGGAATGGGGAGTAGTCTGGAAGGGAAGATTCTGTGCACCCAATAGAATAGCAGTTTCCAATGACTTGTATAGGCCTGATTGGTAGCAGTGGTGTAGCATGGGGGTAGCCCTGGGCGCAAAATTGTTAGGGACGTTAGGAACATACGTTCCTACATCCCATGACAGCAGATAAGCTATCACTGCCCTCTCAGGGCTATTTAAGCTCATTCAGAGCGTTTTTCAATGCCCTGTCATGGTTTCTGACCCTGGCTTGTAGTTTCACTATTCTTTTTTCTGTATTCCTTGATATCTGGCTTGTCTTACCATTAACGTACTCTCTGTCTCCCTGATCTAGGCCTGTTCTGTACTACTTTATGTTATTAAAATCCGGCCGTTCTAAGGTCCAGTAATAAGCTTTAGTATTCAGGTTATATTTTATTCGTTCTTCGTGTTGGGTCTTAGCTATATCCTGTCAGTGTGACACTGATAGCTGCATTGCATAATATCTAAAATCTACCTCACGCCTCAAATAAAGTTTACTTTACATATTATTTTAGGCACGAGGCAGATTAAAAAAAATGTGCAACACAACTATCAGTGTCACACAGGAGGAGTGAGGCTATCTAGGCCCCTATTAAGGGACTCAGGAGTGATAATGGTCTACGGGTTAGAGGGTTCACTACTTGCCTTTGCCTGGGTGCTGGCAACCCACGCTATGCCACTGATTGGCAGTATATGAGTATGAGCATGGCAAATATTTTTCCCGTCTTTTTCAGAACTGTGGTTACAGCCTGATACAGTTCTGTGGACCGCTGTCATGTGTTTAAACACTCACATATCCACAGATGGAGTCAAGGTTCAGAAGGGATCCAGACTATTAGAGGTCCATGGGAACCCCATCTCATTTATTAAATTTAATTATATATGTATTTATTATGAGGGACACTTTGAGACTTGTTAGAATTTAATCCTAAACTATTCAGCATAAATTGGGTTAAATAAATAAAGTCAAGATTATTCGGGACTAGTTCATGTCTGTTTAAATTTTGTTCAATTCAGTTTAAGTCTTTAAAAATGTGTCTATTATACTGCATTACATTCTAACTGAAAATGACCTAAACTGACCTAATTATTTTTTCTATAATTATTTTTTAGAAGTTAACATGTAACTTAACACAAGGGCGACCATCAAATGGTATCAGATACCATCAGCCACACTCTAACAGAGCTTAAAGGTTTACTCCAACCTCCATGACCACTTCTGCTTTTTTGAAAATGGTCATGGAGCTTAAAACTCTGGACATACAGAAATAACTGCAATTTTGGGCCAGAGACTAATTACAGCTTCGGCACACGTGACTTAGGCAGCCTGGAACTCTGTTACTAATGCCCAATAGGGCATTCTACGTTACAAATAAAAATTTTAAAACATTCAACAACATTAACATTAAACAACATTAACATTAAATAACAAGAGCTTAACTTATGTGGCTGGGAAAGTATTTGAAAGGTTATTAAAGGATAATATTCAAGAATTCCTTGAGAAGAACATGTTTATCAGCAAAAATCAGCATGGTTTTATGAAGCACAGGTCATGTCAAACTAACTTGATTGCATTCTATGAAGAAGTAAGTAGAACTATAGATCAGGGTGTTGTCGTGGATGTGATCTATTTGGATTTTGCGAAGGCATTTGATACAGTTCCACACAAAAGATTAATGTTCAAACTCAAAGAAATCGGTCTAGATGAAAATGCTTGGTCTTGGGTAGAACATTGGCTTAAGTATAGAGTACAAAGAGTTGTAGTTAATGGTAAATTTTCAAGCTTGACAGAGGTGGCAAGTGGTGTCCCTCAGGGTTCTGGGACCCCTTCTATTTAACATATTTATAAATTATCTTGAAAAAAGCATTAAAACAGTGTTTGCAGATGACACAAATCTCTGTAAAGTAATACAATGTGAGCAAGATATTACTTTGCTGCATAGGAATTTAGATAGATTGGGGGACTGGGCACTCAAATGGCAGATGAAATTTAATGTTAAAAAATGCAAAGTTATGCACTTCAGCGTAAAGAATGCACAATCAATAGACATGTGCAAGGGTTCGGTTTTGGTTCGGTTCGGCATTCTGAAATTCGGGGACTTCGGCAATTCGGCACTTCGACACTTCGGCACTTCGACACTTCGGAACTTCGGTACTTCGACTCTTCGGAACTTCGGCACTTCGACTCTTCGGAACTCAGGGGTGGGGGCCAGGGGGGAGGACATTAGGTTCCCCTCAATTAGTATTTAGGGCCCCCACCCACTGCTCAGGGGTGGGGGCCAGGGGGGAGGACATTGGGTCCCCCCCAATTAGTATTTAGGGCCCCCACCCACCGCTCAGGGATGGGGGCCAGGGGGGAGGACCTAATGTCTAATTTAGGGCCCCCACCCACTGCTCAGGGGTGGGGGCCAGGGAGGAGGACATTAGGTCCCCCCCTAATTAGTATTTAGGGCCTCCACCCACCGCTCAAGGGTGGGGGCCGGGGGGGGCATTAGGTCCCCCCTATTTGATTTAGGGCCCCCACCCGCCACTCAGGGGTGGGGGCCGGGGTGGGAGGACAATAGGTCCCCCCATTACTTTACTTTAGGGAGGACAATAGGTGGGTGAGGGCCCTAAATACTAATTAGGGGGGACCTAATGTCCTCCCCCCCGGCCCCCACCCCTGAGCGGCGGGTGGGGGCCCTAAATCAAATAGGGGGGACCTAATGCCCCCCCGGCCCCCACCCATGAGCGGGGGGCCCTAAATAAAAAAAATAACCCCCCCTCCCGCAGGTGACTAGGGGTCCCCACACCCCTAGTCACCCTCCTCCCCCAAAAATTAACCCCTACCTACCCCCCTCACCCTAAAAATAATGAGAGGGGGACCATTAACTAAGTACCTGTAAACAAATAAACAAATACACTTACCATTTGATGTTTTCTTTCTCATTCTGATTTAGGGCCCCCACCCGCCGCTCAGGGGTGGGGGCCGGGGGGGAGGACAATAGGTCCCCCCATTACTTTACTTTAGGGCCCCCACCCACTGCTCATGGGTGGGTGCCGGGGGGAGGACAATAGGTCCCCCCCTTATTTTACTTTATGGCTCCCACCTGCTGTTTAGGTGTGGGGGCCGGGGGGGGGGGCAATAGGTCCCCCCTTCACGTTAGGAGGGGGAGGGTGGAGGTGTTGTTTTTTTTTTTTACAGTGAGCAGCCACTGGCTGCTCACTGTTTAATAGACATGCCCCTACTCGCGGTATAGCGAGTAGGAGCATAATTTACTAATACTAAGTAATGTTTACTTAGTATTAGTAAATTTGGTTGAAAGACCAATTTAGGTCTTTCAGCCTTTTACTAGATAGCTCCCTAATACCGTGGGAATTAGGGAGTTATCTACTTATTCATTCCTGTCATTACATTGACTGGCCAAGTAACTTACATTTTATATGAATGTATGTTACTTGATAGTTGTAAGTGTTGCAAATGGTTACAGCTGAATCCTGGCTATGTTTGTATACTTTTTATTTAAAATTGGATACAGTGTAACATTCTTCTTCTTCCACTGGGTATGTATATTAGTACTTAGGCAACTTGTGCTTCGGAACTTCGGCACTTCGGCAACTACGGAACTTCGGCACTTTGACACTTCGGAAATTCTGTAATTTTGGAACTTCGGGACCGCGGTAATTTGGCACTTTGGCTGTTCGGCTCTTCGGCTATTTGGACATTCGGAAGTACCCGAATGTCCAAATTGCCCGAAATTCGTCCGAATACATTTTCGGCCCGAAACGAATAGCACATGTCTAGCAAGCAACAAATACCCTTAATGGAAGTGAATTATTGATAACAACACACGTAAATGACTTGGGAATTGTTATAGACAAAAAACTATGCAACAATGTGCAATGTCAATCAGCAGTGGCTAAGGTCAGTAAGGTATTGTCATGCATAAAAAAGGAAATTCTCGGGATGAGAATATCATTTTGCCTCTTTATAAATCACTGGTAAGACCACATATTGAATATGCTGTGCAATTTTGGGCACCTGTTCTTAAGAAGGATATTATGGCACTAGAAAAAGTGCAGAGGCGGGCTACAAAATTAATAAAAGGAATGGAACATGTCAGCTATGAAGAAAGGTTAACAAATTTAAACCTCTAGTTTAGAAAAACATCGCCTGAGAGGGGATATTATAACATTATACAAATATATTCGGGGCCAATACAAACCATTGTGTGGAAATCTATTCACAAACCGGACCTTACATAGGACACGAGGTCATGCGTTTAGACTGGAAGAAAGAAGATTTTGTCTAAGGCAAAGAAAAGGTTTTTTTACTGTAAGAACAATAAGGATGTGGAATTCTCTGCCTGAAGCAGTGGTTTTATCAGAGTCCATACAGATGTTCAAACAGCAACTAGATGCATGCTTGCAAAAACAGAATATTCAAGGATATAATTTTTCAATGTAGGGTAATAGCTGCTTGATCCAAGGATTAATCTGATTGCCATTGTGGGGTCAAGAAGGAATTTCTTTCCTAGTTTGTTGCAAGTGCTTCAAACTGTTTTTTTTTTTTTTGCCTTCTTTTGGATCAACAGCAAAAGAAAAACAAATGTGAGAAAGTCTAAACTTGATGGACATATGTCTCTTTTCAGGCTATGTAACTATGAAATCTCTGTTTAGTGAATAAACCCTTCAGTGTCATGCTCAGCATCTGTGCCATGTGTCTGGGTGAACCTCTCTTTACCATTGCCTGTCAGCATGTGGCTCTGTGTTGCTGTGTGGTCTATAGGAATAAACGCTGGCATGTTCCCCGGAGAATGACGTCTCGCCAGGAGGCGAGCGGAGCAGGTTGTACACATTGTACTCTTTGAACATTCACTGAGGTATACACACAGTGGGCGAGAGATACACACTGTGTGATGTTTAAATAGCAGGAATAACTTTATAGGAATGACATGGGCGTTTCAGGCGTAATTATTTGGAAATGGTACAGAAACTATGAGCCCCAAGTAACATGATATTCTAGGTCAGTAACCTACTTCTAGAGAAATGAGCATGCTTTGTTATTTTTTTAAATTTTATATATGATTCTATTTACTCTGTTCGAACGGTGACCCTGAATGGGAAGCTTCCTTCTGTGTCTCCGAAAACATTCTGCAATAATCATGACCCTTTACTCCTGAATAGCCCTCCAACATTATATCATGCCCCCTTAATTTCATGTCTCTCTTCCTCAACACTCCAAACTTGCCACCTGTCCCGATTTTCACAAAACAGTCCCAGTTTTTGGCCTCCTGTCTGTCTACATTTTTTTTTCACTGACTTTGTCCTGTATTTTCAAAATGTAATTGAAAAAAACTAATCGCACAGTTGTCAATAAATTTTAAAAAAATTTTTTATTAAAGCAATAGAATTTTGGGCCTTGTTTACAATGTTGATGCAACTTTTTACCAACTAGCAGCTACTTAGTAATGTGTCAGTCGCTAGGTTTTGGCTATTATTATATTGTCAAAAATGTTGTAAACTACTCACTTGATTGAGTCCAAGGATTTTTTTCCCATGTATTGGCAACAATGCATTCATACACCAAATCATACCTATTTCTCCATAACAACCTATCAACAACTCAAGTGTTAATTGTCAGCAATACAGAGTGAATGTCACATTTTAAGCCCAAATACGTTGCTCAACCTAACTTGTCTGCTACTGCAGTTTCACTCAGAGAAATTGCAGCAGTAAGCGAGTTAGGCTGAACAGTTGTTGGTCATATAGTAGTAAAGTCTGACTCAACATGGCTGCTCAGTCAGCTTAAAAAGTGAAATTTTCTCAAATATGAACATACGTCATTTAAAAAATATAATTGTTTCATTAAGTGTAATAAACTTGTTGGTTTTTTTTTTTTAAAATGAAAGGTGCAATTTAACAGCTGTCCTTTAAGGGAACACTCCAAGCAATATAACCACTACAGTTTGCTTTAGTGGTTATGGTGCATGGAATGTTCCTTTAAAATTTACTCTGAGTTCAATTCACACTTTATGGCATAATCCTGAAAGTCATTTGACAGAGATGCTCACCAAGGCATTGTGCAGCTACAGTTCTACCATTTACTCTAGTGATGAATGGTTTTGAATATTTTTATTTATTTAAAGGGACACTATAGTCACCAGTGCAACTACATGTATTCCTGAACCTATAGTGTTAACACAACCATCTAGCCCTCCCTGGGCCCCTCATGCCTCCATAAATATAGTAAAAATCTTACTGTATTCAAGCCAGAAGCTGTAACTCTGCATGCTGTTAGACTCAGGAAAAACAAGCAGTCTGCTGACATCACCAGAAGTGGTAGCCTGATCCAATCACAGTGCTTCCCCATAGGATTAGCTGAGACTGACAAAAAGGCAGATCAGGGGCAGAGCCAGCATGATTCAAACACAGCCCTGGCCAATCAGCATCTCCTCATAGAGATGAATTGAATCAATTAATCTCTATGAAAAAAGTTCAGTGTCTGCATGCAGTGGGAGGAGATACTGAATCACAGGATGCTCGTGCACAGCAGCTCTGAGTGGATGGAGGCATATTATGTCTCCATCAACTGCGAAATCCCTCTGGTTCACTCTGAGTGACTGCAACTGTTGGTATTCCTAGCTTTCAATGTAAACACTGTATTTTCTTGGAAAATACAGTGTTTACATTAGAAAGGCTGCAGGGAGCTATAGTTCTCACCTGAACAACCTCATTAAGCTGAAGTTGTTCAGGTGACTATAGTGTCCCTTTAAATGTTATGGTTTCTACCTAAACCAAACAACTCCCTATGTGCCCCACACATACTCAGGGCCATCTTTAAGGAGGGTCAAAAGGGGCATCTGCCCCGGGCCCAGTTACTCCTGGGGGCCCTAAGGCAGCTGCCCCATGGGCCCTCTGCGGCACCTGAGGTAATCAGGGGCCACAGCCCTTTAATACTGCTCTGGACCGGCCCGGCCCCTGTTATATGGGGGGTGGCTGACTAGATACTCACAGCTAGCCCCCTCACATACTTCCCTGTGAGTCTCTTTGTTTCCTGGGCATGCTGGGAGGAAGTGAGGTCAGATTGCTTCCTCCCAGTAAGAACTGATCACTTCCTTCTCAGTGCCGCTGGGGAGGAGGCACACACCACATGGAGGAGGATGCAAGCATTGTGGGGGAGAGGGACTGAGAAAGCTGATGGCAGACTCCCATCAGCCTGGGCCAACAAGCTCTCACTGGACACCAGGGAACCACCTTTCTGTACCCAAAATGTAAGGAGACAGGAGGGTGGCTAAATATGTTTTGTTTTTTGTTTTGCTAATTTCTGATATCACTTTTATTTAAGTGTGTTGGTGTTTGTAATGTAACACACAGGGAATAAGTACATGTTAAAAATCCTAGAAGAACCTGACAGTTCCCTATTAAATATAAATTTAAAAAGTATTTATTTTAACATATTATTGCATCAAGTGTTATCAAAGGCTGTATACCATTTCCAAATGTCACTTTTGCCAAATTCTGGACCAGGGTATGTAAGAACAGAGTTGAGACATTATATTGACCAAGGTTACTGGGAGTTGCTGTCCAAAAGCTGCTAGAAGGCAGAGATTAAAATATGTAAATGTACACATATATATGTATCTGGCTGTGTTTATGTCCTTGTGTGTATCTGGCTGTGTTT